ACAGAGCGCTCTATATAAGAGGCATATCACGTATTCCTTTCTTACAAATAGATTGTCCCTACCGGAGAATGTTTTACTAAAGTTACTTATTGTCAGTACATGCACTTTCAGTTTATCTCTTTATGTTCCTTCCTTCCCGTAACTGTTGTAAATAGTGAATGATATCAAAAATGTCCAAGGAAAGAGCTAGTACAAACATCATTAAGGAAGCCATGCTTTGTGACGAATGGGGACACATTTTTCGATGAATCCGTGAAATATAAGAGGCCCAATGGGCCTGAATTACTTATCTAGTATTTAGTGTCAGTTCATTATTTTAATGGTACAAAACAAACACCATGGAACTTGGATTATGAGTTATATCATGACATGTTATTTGAAGATTTCAACACACTTGATCCCTGTTCCATTGTAAGTTGAAATCAGTACCAACTTGGTAAATGAAATAACTGAGTGTCGACAATGTTTTGGATGTGTTCGTGAAAACCGTTAAAACGCGCACAACTGGAACTAACAATGCAAACCAACAGCGGCATCAACATGAAAAATCGTTTGTTCAAATCTAAAACGCCAGTTATAATCACGTTCTCGTTTCCTTGTTTAATTAAAAGAATTAAAGTGCTTAACCAAGGAGAAATCTACGGATATAGAGGTTTCAAAATACATGTTCGTCTTTTTTTTGTTCTCTTGTAAATGGTGGAAAGCTATAGATGATGCTGTCATTCTACACTTTAGTCTTATTTGACCTTAGTACAACATTAAACATCAGAATACAAAACTGACAGAATGACCCATTTTAAATGTTTGATTTACTAATCAGATGCATTCATTTTGGAATTTTTTATCTACAAAACGATATATCAATATTTTTCTGAAATGCCGCTATATAATCTATAATTTAAAAAAATCGTTCACCTGGAGCGAGAAAGCTGCGCATGCGCGTCGCGGTATGTCCTCAATGGCTGCATATGCTTCAGAGACATTAGGAATAAAAAATCTTTCCCGTGACGTAAGATTACTAACGGGGCTGTGGGAATTATCGACAGGATGGTAATGATTGGAAAGAATCTGCCTTGTACTAAAATGTACAGAAGGTCTATTTGTACTATTGTGGACTGTTTTTAACATTGTCGTTTCGTAAAACTGATACTGTGTATAGAATGTTAACTTTCACAAATATGTCTTATTCTTTCTTTTAACATTATTTTCTCGTTAAATACATATCGTATTTAGAAAGGGTCGCTTTCATCAATACTGGCTCGTCTCGGGAAATAGATACATTCAATAAGCTGCACTGGAGCAATGTTCAATACATCTTTGTGATTTGACAAGAAAACCCATTAAAATGGAAGTGGAATATAGAATAACAATTTAGGTGAGGAAGATTATATCTTTTTACCATTATCATTTGAAGACATAGTAAGCTCATATCAATTATTCAATGTATTGTTATATTTTAGCACACAACGCAATATTTTAACAATGTTATTCTACAAAAGACAATCTGTCATCCTAACGATGAAGGTAGTCACTTTTTACAGGATTCGGTAATAATGATGCATTCCGTTTTGTTTCGAATTGATATCATATAAACTGCAATTTTTTAAGGGTTCAAGGATGGGAATCATGACAAGTTGTTGATCAATGACTCTGAATATGACATAACAGTAACTATATAAAACAGAAGAAGTTAACGAGTCTAGCGTTAGATAATGGTTTATAACCAACGATTCCAGAAGCACGTTTTCAAATTTTTGGAAATAAACACTGATTAATGTTTATGAACATTACTATAAAATGCTCACTTTTATTTTACATCCGTGCTATCTTGCATATTTATTGTTAACATTTCCTTTGAATACATAATGCATTTTTATATCTGCCTCAATTCTTAAAGCTGAAACCAACTTGTGGATCATAAGGCCCATTTTATCTTGACGGTGATACTTTAATCTTATATAACGGTAAAATCAACGTAAATCTGATCTCAAAAATAAGATTTAAGCCAAGCTCACTTAACACAGAGTGAACTTTAAAAGCAAGTGTCGAGCAACACTTATCCGATCTATAGTACGATCTCTTAGCACTAAGTCATCCTATCATTAATTAAGGGACAAGATGCTTCCCTAAATGTTCCATAACAATTTTCAATGATCTGGTCAAGAATATGCTTATGTAATATGAATAAAGAATACTATTGTTTACAAAAATAGTACTTGTTTACTTATTGGGATTTGACCGTTACTTATGAGAAGAAATGAACTGCGCATACACACAGGGATCACCTGGTAAGGTATACACTTAATTATATCAACACAAGGAACAACAGGTGAGTTAGACGCTCGAGTAGGATCATTCAAGGCACGAGGTACCTCCACGCCGGACACACGGTAGACACTTCATTACACGTGAAAGGAACATTGGGTGAAGTAGATACTATATCATACACGTGCAAGTATATTGAGCACGTGTTGATGTAGACACTTATGAACAACGACAGCGTGATCACACATGTCATACACATAAAGCATGGTGATGGATTCGTAGTTGTTTTATAGCACACAGAGAACACATGGTTAGGGAGATATTTCTTTACGGTCATACGAGGAACTCAAGGTGTTGTGTACTTATTCATAAACACAGAGAACACATGGTTAGAGAGATGTTTCTGTACGGTCATACGAGGAACTCGTGGTGATGTGTACTTAATTATACACTCAGAGAACACGTGGTTATGGAGATGTTTCTGTATGGTCATACGAGAAACTCGTGGTGATGTAAACTTAATTATACACACACAGAACCCATGGTTAGGGAGATGTTTCTGTATGGTCATACGAGAAACTCGTGGTGATGTAAACTTAATTATACACACACAGAACCCATGGTTAGGGAGATGTTTCTGTATGGTCATACGAGAAACTCGTGGTGATGTAAACTTAATTATACACACACAGAACCCATGGTTAGGGAGATGTTTCTGTATGGTCATACGAGAAACTCGTGGTGATGTAAACTTAATTATACACACACAGAACCCATGGTTAGGGAGATGTTTCTGTATGGTCATACGAGAAACTCGTGGTGATGTAAACTTAATTATACACACACAGAACACGTGGTTATGGAGATGTTTCGTTACGGTCATACGAGGAACTCGTGGTGATGTAAACTTAATTATACACACACAGAACCCATGGTTAGGGAGATGTTTCTGTATGGTCATACGAGAAACCTTTGGTGATGTAAACTTAATCATACACACACAGAACCCATGGTTAGGGAGATGTTTCTGTACGGTCATACGAGAAACTCGTGGTGATGTAAACTTAATTATACACACACAGAACCCATGGTTAGGGAGATGTTTCTGTATGGTCATACGAGAAACTCGTGGTGATGTAAACTTAATTATACTCACACAGAACACGTGGTTATGGAGATGTTTCTTTACGGTCATACGAGGAACTCAAGGTGTTGTGTACTTATTCATAAACACAGAGAACACATGGTTAGGGAGATGTTTCTGTACGGTCATACGAGAAACTCACGGTGATGTGTACTTAATTATACACACAGAGAACACATGGTTAGAGAGATGTTTCTGTACGGCCATCACGAGGAATTCACGAACTCACAGTGTTTTTTTGTTTTAGTGTTATGATTTCAATAGCTCAATCGTGTATTTTGTTTTTTTTCTCTCTCTAAAATTCTGCTTTCCAAATTAATCAATCCTAAATTCAATTCCATTGATTTGTTTGTGGCGAGCTTCGATATTTTTGTCGCCTGGATATTCCCGTATATAGTAACAAAACCCTTCATGTCTGACTGCACCTAATCCAGGTTACGAGAAGCAAAACGAGACTGGAGCCAATAAAGGGACTCAATAATACGCTACTAGCATGAAAACCAGTGATCATCCAGCCTCGGAATCGACGTGCAGAGCAATTCAAGCAAATGAAATACAAATTAATGTTCAGTACAATGAAGCATTATCACATTTCACTTAATGCCCAGTATGAAACAAAACACAAGCAGATTTTTTCTCTGTTCTATCGCTTTAATTGTACGGTTGCGTCTTGCAGCATACAAGTGTTTCACCTTTTTCTTTCATAGAAAGAATTATTGGAGATCAATCAGCGACTACATGGCTCAATTATTTTGACCTTATGGTCTTACATCACCGACACTTTCCAGGAAATTGCCAGACCATTTACATCCAGAAACGAAAACCCTTATTTCATATTCTACGTCATTGTAAGCGCAATGCACAAGTTTTTATTCGCGACGAAGTTTATTTGCAATCAAATACAACTGAATTTTATGTGTGACTTAAGCGACGATCGATGAAGTAGACATTGAGTGTGTGATTATGATTGTCCGGAATTTTTTTGTTTTTTGTTTTTTTGAGAATTTGTGTATTTAATCATGAGTGCTGGTTAGAAGCATACTACTGTTTCTCAATAACTGTATACCTTATATATGCCTAAAACTGTCAGCTCTAACACTGATTTCATTCATCTCCTATAAATATTGTAAAGACACTTATGCGTAACATTTTTTAAATACTGTTCAGTTGATTAATTTGGCGAGGGCAATATTCCGTGGTTTTCACGGTTAGTCTAAGAAATTTTCAAATAGACCTTTCTCTATCAATTTGTATCAATATATACAGGAATAAAATATATTATCTGATATTTTGATTTAATTTGAAAATATTTGCTGGATATCTGATTAATTTTATAATTATTAAACCCTAATAATGCAAAACGCAAATATTACCTATTGTGCAGTATGTGTTCAGCAGTATATGCTTTCGTGTTAACATACTAACAGTATAGAAAGAGTTATGTCATAGTTAAGTCATACAATGTTGACCAAGCCCAAGACATCCAATGAAAAACCACTACCGGCAATATTATAATACAAAAGGATCTTAAGCTATTATTGTTTGACCACGACACCTAAACTTGCAAGAAGGTTTCAAATTTATTACTCACAGAACCCGGATGTCGTCAGGTAAATCCTGAGGTACGCTTGTTAAGTTCTTTCTCTGACAGGTACATCTTGGTTTCGTTGATAGTGTCTTTCCTATGCAATCACACAGCTTATCTGGTATCCCTTCGGTAGTCTCTCCAGCAGCGATTGACACAAATATAACCGCCATACCTATGTACAAAAATACCGCCATGACGGAAACGATTAACGGGTTTCCTGTTATGGACGTCATTTGAAAATCACGTGTAATTCTACAGACGTGAATTATTCGGGCGCTCTGACATAAGGTACATTGGGCTAAAGTTGGACCAGAGGTATATATCAACTCCAGGTTTGTCCCCACACAGAATGCCGATCCTTCGACTGTCACGGCCTCGATGTGACATCATTATCGGTTATTATCACAATTTGAAGTATCGGTAATCCGTAGTATAATCTATTGAGATGTTAAAACGCAGATAAAAGACTGTATCTGCCACTTCAAGGTACCATATTTAGAACAAAACAAATTCAACACAAAGGGATGTGTGCTCTCTTATCCAGTTTATCCGATAGGGACGGTTTGCCCCTCCGATCGGCAGCATAGTCCGAGGAGCACTCATTTTATGAAGTTTACTAGTGCTGCTGGGTTGCTTGCTGTAACTCTATTACCCCATCCGAAGACTCAAGTAGAAACAAGCCAATCGATCTGTAGGCTTGTAAGCCAGTGTATGCCTTCTATAGCTGACTAGCGTGTGTCACATTGGTTATAAATTCAGCATGTTATCTTCACAGAATCTAAGGGGAGGGGCACTTCGGGGTTAACATATTCCACAATGACTAGTTAGGTGTAGGTACATGTAACTGATCACGTGGGAATGGGGAATGAAAGCGCGTGCTGTCACAGAGGAGATGTTAGAGAGGGCATCGCCGTGAAACGGGGGTGTTAAGCGTTCACAACATGAACTCGCCTATGTATACTTGTTCTAATCGATTAACTATTGCAGATCTAAGCCAGTGGATCACGCGTATTGCCAAACATTAAACTATCGTAGACAACCTTATATTAGGAATACGGCGGTGATGAGATAGCCATTGTAAAAAGTCTCTACATAACTAAGGGAGACAGATAGTAAAATAGCCAAGACTGTATTCATACGTCACGTGCAGAAATCATGCAGCTCAGTGAGAAAGAAAGAGACACTGAGGGTGAAATCGAGGGAGTAGAAGAAAGGCAGGGAAAGTGACATCGGGGAAATAGAGAGGGGAATGGAGGGTGACATCGGGGGGCGAGGGGGGAGGGGGTAGGTGAGAGGCATGGAGGATGACATCGGGGGAGTAGGACAGAGACATGGAGGGTGACATCGAGGACGTAGGAGAGAGGCATGGAGGGTGATATCAGGGGAGTAGGAGAGAGGAATGGAGGGTGACATCAGGGGAGTAGGAGAGAGGCATGGAGGGTGACATCGGGAGAGAAGGACAGAGGCATGGAGGGTGACATCGAGGACGTAGGAGAGAGGCATGGAGGATGACATCAGGAGAGTAGGAGAGAGGAATGGAAGGTGACATCAGGGGAGTAGGAGAGGGCAGAAGCAGGGTGACATCAGGGGAGTAGGAGAGAGGAATGGAAGGTGACATCAGGGGAGTAAGAGAGAGGAATGGAAGGTGACATCGAGGATGTAGGAGAGAGGCATGGAGGGTGATATCAGGGGAGTAGGAGAGAGGAATGGAAGGTGACATCAGGGGAGTAGGAGAGAGGCATGGAGGGTGACATCAGGGGAGTAGGAGAGGACAGAAGCAGGGTGAAATCAGGAGAGTAGGAGAGAGGAATGGAAGGTGACATCAGGGGAGTAGGAGAGGACAGAAGCAGGGTGACATCAGGGGAGTAGGAGAGAGGAATGGAAGGTGACATCAGGGGAGTAAGAGAGAGGAATGAAAGGTGACATCGAGGATGTAGGAGAGAGGCATGGAGGGTGATATCAGGGGAGTAGGAGAGAGGAATGGAAGGTGACATCAGGGGAGTAGGAGAGGACAGAAGCAGGGTGACATCAGGAGAGTAGGAGAGAGGAATGGAAGGTGACATCAGGGGAGTAGGAGAGGACAGAAGCAGGGTGACATCAGGGGAGTAGGAGAGAGGAATGGAAGGTGACATCAGGGGAGTAAGAGAGAGGAATGGAAGGTGACATCGAGGATGTAGGAGAGAGGCATGGAGGGTGATATCAGGGGAGTAGGAGAGAGGAATGGAAGGTGACATCAGGGGAGTAGGAGAGAGGCATGGAGGGTGACATCGAGGATGTAGGAGAGAGGCATGGAGGGTGACATCGAGGATGTAGGAGAGAGGCATGGAGGGTGACATCGAGGATGTAGGAGAGAGGCATGGAGGGTGATATCAGGGGAGTAGGAGAGAGGAATGGAAGGTGACATCAGGGGAGTAGGAGAGAGGCATGGAAGGTGACATCGAGGATGTAGGAGAGAGGCATGGAGGGTGACATCGGGAGAGAAGGACAGAGGCATGGAGGGTGACATCGAGGATGTAGGAGAGAGGCATGGAGGGTGATATCAGGGGAGTAGGAGAGAGGAATGGAAGGTGACATCAGGGGAGTAGGAGAGAGGCATGGAAGGTGACATCAGGGGAGTAGGAGAGAGGCATGGAGGGTGACATCGGGAGAGAAGGACAGAGGCATGGAGGGTGACATCGAGGATGTAGGAGAGAGGCATGGAGGGTGATATCAGGGGAGTAGGAGAGAGGAATGGAAGGTGACATCAGGGGAGTAGGAGAGAGGCATGGAGGGTGACATCGGGAGAGAAGGACAGAGGCATGGAGGGTGACATCGAGGACGTAGGAGAGAGGCATGGAGGGTGACATCAGGGGAGTAGGAGAGAGGAATGGAGGGTGATATCGGGTGGGGGGGGTAGGAGAGAGGAATGGAAGGTGATATCGGTGGGGGGGGGGGGAGAGGAGGGGTAGGAGAGAGGCATGGAGGGTGACATCAGGAGAGCAGGAGAGGACAGAAGCATGTAGGGTAACATCAGGGGAGTAGGAGAGGACAGAAGCATGGAGGGTGACATCGGGAGAGAAGGAGAGAGGCATGAAAGGTGACTATTCGAAGGAAGAGAGAGAGAGTAGGTGTGAGATCGACAGGGGAATATGAGAGAGTCATGTAGGTGACATCGAGGGATTATAAAAAAAAATTATGGAGAGTGTCATTGGGAAGTAGGTGAGAGGCATGGACGATAAGATCCCGGTAGAAGGTAAGAGGCATGGGGGTGTGGTTGGGGATTCGGAGAGAACAATGAAAGATTTCGGGAGGAGTAGGGCAGGGGCATGGTGGTGACATCGGGTGAGTAAGAGATAGGCATGGATGTGACATCTGGGAAGTAGAAAATAGGCACGGATCAGAAAAATAGAGAGGAACGGAGGATAAGGTCGGTGGAGTATGAGTGAGGCAAAGAGATTGATGTCGAGGAGCGAGAAACGTTAAGTCGCTGGAGTAGGAGACGTATGGAGGTGAGGTTTGGGAGTAAAGAATGAAGAATGAGGTCTGAATTGATATCTTTCGTATATCTTCAACCTTCTTCACTTAATAGCATTTTAAAAACAAACATAGTGTTCATCTTTTATCCGTAAAAACATCAGCACAAGTCATGGTGCTTTCCGATTTAGCAAATTCGTTATAAAAGTTTAAACAATCAAAACATTGTCAGTGTATAGTTGTGCTGTGTGACATGATAAGGATTTCATAGTATATTAATTGTCATATCATATAATGAGGAAGTTGACAGTAGTACTATTTTTAGCCTGTCTAATGGAACGTCATGGTGGTGACTTTTTTTTTCAAATTACGGTTCGTCCGTAGTCCGCCGTTCGGAGCCCGCCGTCCATTTGTAAACGATTGTTATAATCTCTGTTTCCTGAGAAAGTAATGGAAAACTCTTTCACAAATTTCATGTTAATTTTTCCCTTTTGCTCTTTTTATTTTGGAGCTCATCAGAAAAACAAAATGGCTGACAAGCGGCCATCATGAATTATAAAAAGACAAGATTTGTTTTTGCAATTTCTTGTACCTGGTAGAGCTTCACAGATGTCGTGTGTAGGTTCCACTTGGTCCATAGTTGTTTTCTTTTAATTTTAGAAGTGACAAAAGAAGCGTGCTAAGCCGTCAACTGAGACTTTAAAGTTAACTTTGCTATCGCTATTTGTCGAGGTTTCCTGTTGGCATGAAGTAGTGCTCTACTCTTACTGAACGCAAAGTTAAATATACCTGCAAATTGGATCTGTGTACATGAATAAAAAAAACCGATTCCATCACACAATGCAAATGACATTTTCTAATTCAAAGATTTCCTATGTTTTTACACGATCAAAATAGTCTAAGATCAATATAGGTAATCGTTATATGTTCAACTGCGACTTGTTCATACTTTAAGTATGAATTCCCAGACCGATTTGAAGACAGTCAATTATAATATCGTTTCTCTGGTTACACGTGAGTTAATAACCCACGCAACAGCTCCATATTGGTCTTCAGCGAAAATACACAAGCTCAATCCAAATGATTTGATGGTTCCATAAGTGATGTGGTGGTTCCGTGGGGGATGTGGTGGTTCCGTGGGGGATGTGATGGTTCCGTGGGGGATGTGATGGTTCCATAAGTGATGTGATGGTTCCGTGGGGGATGTGGTGGTTCCGTGGGGGATGTGGTGGTTCCGTGGGGGATGTGATGGTTCCGTGGGGGATGTGATGGTTCCATAAGTGATGTGATGGTTCCGTGGGGGATGTGGTGGTTCCGTGAGGGATTTGGTGGTTCCGTGGGGGATTTGGTGGTTCCGTGGGGGATTTGGTGGTTCCGTAGGTGATGTGATGGTTCCGTGGGGGATGTGGTGGTTCCGTAGGTGATGTGATGGTTCCATAAGTGATGTGATGGTTCCGTGGGGGATGTGGTGGTTCCGTGAGGGATTTGGTGGTTCCGTGGGGGATTTGGTGGTTCCGTAGGTGATGTGATGGTTCCGTGGGGGATGTGGTGGTTCCGTAGGTGATGTGATGGTTCCGTAGGTGATGTAATGGTTCCGTGGGGGATGTGGTGGTTCCGTAGGTGATGTGATGGTTCCGTAGGTGATGTGATTGTTCCGTAGGTGATGTGGTGGTTCCGTGGGGGATGTGGTGGTTCCGTGGGGGATGTGGTGGTTCCGTAGGGGATGTGGTGGTTCCATAGGTGATGTGGTGGTTCCGTAGGTGATGTGATGGTTCCGTAG